AGTGATTCATTTTCAAATTCTGATTAGATTATAGCCTAGAAAGCTTGTAAAGAGTGCTCTTCTTATAATTACTATTACTATTAAAAGCTGTCGCTCATTGTAGTTTGTTGCGATCTCATAAAGTTACATTCAAATCAATGAACCTCTATACACTGCACAATGAATCTCTTATTTACATCGCGTCTACACTTTGTCTATTATATTGAGAGTAGAACTCAGCACTGGTGTTTTGAGTTCTGTCTAACCTAAACACCTCTGATTGGCTCTTGTGAAATTCATGAAATCAACAGATATGTCTGTGATAGGCTACATTGCCTATCACAGACATATCTGTTGTGCTGCAAAAACACATTGTGAATAGAAACCTATGACCAGTGGAGATAATAATAAAAGCCCCTCCCCACAAGTTGATGGGATTGGTTACATATTTGTGAAGGTAGGAAACGAGCGCTTTCAAACAGCGTTTTTGAGACAGTCTTTGGTACATTGCCATTTTAAGGAGAAAAGCTCAGCAGTGGTATTGACTGATGAATTTGCACATGGTTTGTCCTTAAGCATATTTAAAGCAGCAGACAGACATGTAAACACCAGCCAGATAATGTTAAAAACTTGATTTTCACCACAGGGGGTCTTTAACAGGTTAATGTTAAAACACCAAAAATGCCTGATTAAGGAAACACTTTGGAACCTAAATCCCTTCTATTGAAGTTCTTTTTACAGTTTGGCAGGGACATATGATAAACAGGGCTTATAAGATAAAAGTTGGCCACTTTTAAATGGTTTCTTTTCATGGCTCTTTCACACATTTGATTTGGGAATGTTTTCATTTCATGTGCTAATATGCTAATATTTCTCAATGTCAACCGATTTTTTTTCTCCTCACTCGATCAATGGCCACACACGCACACATACTGTAGACTTTTTTCTCTTCCCTCTTTCCCTCCTCTAACCCTATCTTCCTATCTGCACCCTCTGCTATTTTCTCCACTCTACCCTCCTTCCTCTAAAGCAGTGAAGCCACAATGCTAGCCCCTGCTGCATTATTAATGGAATATTAATGATTTTCTGACTTGCCGACCTCTAGGTTTCCATTAGTTACCTGTAGGCTGATGAAACCCAGTGCTCCTGAACAAGGCCAGCAACCAGGGCAGTACTAATGAGACCTACACTCTCACGATCATTAACATAGAGAGCGAGGGGTGGGAGGGGGCTATAGGGTTTTTGTTCTGTAGGAGGTTGAGGAAGAACCCTATTGGTGTTGCTGAAGATTTGTGACTCCAATTAATATTAGAATATCCATCCAGCGTTGCTTGTGATAAGCTTTTCTAGTAATGTGTGCATGTAGGGGTGGGCGGTATACAACAGCATGTTAGTGGCATCATGTTAAAATTTTCTAACATTTTGAGAATATTCTTTCAATACACCTTTTACGAGGTCATTTACTCATAATTATTAATATATTATCAATATTTCAAAATATCAATATTTTAATCTTGTAAACATCTTGATTTACAAAACTGACTTTTATATAAAAACAAAACTATTATGAGATTATTTTCATAACATTTAAAAATGTTTTAATGTGTAACTAAAATTCTGTCATACATTATTGTTTTTGCTAGAAACACTACTCTGAAATATTTTATTGCACATCCATGTTGTAATGTTTTAGTCAGTCAGATTGTCATTTTCTTCCTTCATTTAACAAAAATAATAAAAATAATAATTTCAAATTCAAAATTTTGAAAATTCAAAAATAATTGAATTTTTTTTCAAATTGTATTTTAAGTGACATTTTTGTTTTGTTTTGTTTTCGCACATGAGATGCAAGTTTGCAGAGTAAATAGTTTTCTGCTTGGTGCTGGAGGTTTTTATATTGCTTCCCAAATATTGTATAGCTTGACACATAGATCATGACATTAGTAATGCCAATGCCATTGGTTGCCAATGCATGTACTGCTGAAATTTGTAGTTTGGATGTACTATAAATTGCTTTTTTGGATTAAAAACATTGGTCACACTTTAGTTTAGGGACCAATTCTCACTATTAACTAACTATTAACTACGACTTTTGCCCCAATAAACTCCTAATTTGCTGCTTAATAATAGTTAGTAAGGTAGTTGTTAAGTTTAGGTATGGGATAGGATTACGGGATCTAAAATATGCAGAATAAGGCATTAATATATGCTTTATAAGTACCAATAAACAGCCAATATGTTAGTAATATGCCTGCTAATAAGCAACTAGTTCATTGTGAAAATTGGACCTTAAAATAAAGTGTTTTGGTGTTACCAAAACATCTACCGAAATTCGTAAATGTACATACAGAATTTCTACCCATTTATACCCTTCTTACAGTACAATGCATACTATACTATCCAGCCCCAGCGTATACTGTATTAATATGAGAGAAATAAACTTTTACTGCCAGCCGTGTCTTTTTTTTTCTTTGAAGTGAAGCCTGGAAACAAGGCAGTAGTCGTATCCCATCATGCACTGCTTCTCCTAATGCAGAGTCCTGAGGTGTTTCACAGTGTGTGTTCCATATGAAAGTCGTGCCTCAGTTTAACGATCATTAACGTTCAGAACACTGGAGTCTTGGTCACCTGGAAGTCATCTGTGCTTTTACCAGTCATCTGTATTAACGCGGTAACTAAGGCAACCGAGCCTAAGAGCTGCACTCTTTAGAATTTCTCAAGAAATCTTGGCGAATGCTACGAAAAGGCCTATACACACTAGTTTGAAAGATAAGCTTTTGGCAGCTACAGACACATATACTGATTTAAAACTGAAAGGGAGGGAATGATGAATTCAGTAAAGTTGTGAATTGTAAAAACAAAGTCTGCAGAACAGACAGCGCAACCAAAAAAATATTCCGACTGTCAAAAGGAATGACAGCAAGCAGAGAGGGAATGCCAGGAATACAGACACGCAGAAAGAGAGAGAAACACGGCCCCACCCCACTCTGAAGTTTGCCGGTTGCGCAGCAACCAGTGAATCGTACAAAAATAAAAGAGCAGGTGAGAAAGATCGGTTCCAGAAAGTGCGTTGTATAATCCTTTCCCATTGCTTTCCTTCTTCCTTGCCGCCCCCTTTTAAGCCCTTTCTTCTTGTCTGTCTTCGTCTCTTATTCTCGCTCCCCCTCCCGCAGTCTGTCCATCAGAAATCTCATTATTGTTGGCTGTGTATACATCTCGGTGTCTCATTAGCAGGCTTCGAGAGCGGCAGAGGACACCATGTCTTAACTTCTGTACCAATTTGTCTGCCCCTGTCTCCCTCTCTGTCTGGGAACAGCGTTTCCCACAGTGCATGAGGCCCATCCTTCTGCAAGCTGAATAAGTAAAGATGGCTGAGGTGTGGGGTGAGAAGTCAAACTGCAGAATCATGGGAAATGAAAAAGGCTCTCTTAAACGTTATTGGGTGCAGCTTTGCAGGTTGTCTATGTGTTGCTATGTGTGTGTGTTATGCTTTGCTGTCTCTGCGGAATGGCCCCAAAAATTTTGTAAAACCCTACTAAAAATAACCTAGCCTTAGATGGTTTGCTGGTCTTAGCTGGCTTAAGGTGGTCTAGCTGGAGTTCAACTGAAAAGCTGAAACATTATATTGCAACTTTAGTAAATGATAGCATAAGTACAACAGCTTCATAGTAAGCTATATAGTAATTTATTCCTGCGAAAAAGCGGAATTTTTACCAGTCATTACTTCAGTCTTCAGTGCCACATGATCCTTCAGAAATCATGTTAATATGCTGATTTGCTTCACAGGAAAAAAAAAAAATTAATAACAATTCTTACTGACCCTAAAATTTTGAAGATACAATTTAAAAGATAAAAAGGTTTTGGGGTTAGTATTCATAATTAATATATTATTTATAATTTATCCTATTTAATCCCAAATTTTTCCCAGACATGAAAATATCCAAATGATGTGTCATTAGTAACCCTTTGAAATAATAAATATTTTTTATTTTTTTTTATTTTTTTGAAAAAATTGTGCTTTATGGTCAGTCACAATTGTGACCGGTGGAATAATGTGTGTACTGAATTAACATATTTCTGCAGTCATAAAAAATATTATCTCAGCCCAGCTATTTTAAACTGTTTGATCACATTCTAGGTTACTATTATGCATAAAAAATCCTTATACAACATTGATAGGAATGCTGAGATAAAAGACAAAAAAAAAATACATCCATCAACATATACTTTTTTGTAACATACAGTACATCATACAATTTTTATATTAGTGCTACAAGTATTACAACATCAATATTGTAACTTATTTCTTACATTTGAATTTTTTATTTAGTGCAGTATTTTGTCATTGCAACATTTTAGTGCAATTTTCACTAACAACTGCAATTGAATTTATATTGTATACCTAAGTTCTCAGTTCACTATTGTGACCATCAAGATGTTTACTCAGTATATGACCACACTCAACAAAACTAAATATATGTCATTGCATATATGAATACTAGACACCTCAAAGAAAATGTGTACCAAATATCTTCTCCTTTCGTTATCTCCTTTCGTTTTGGAGCTTTGATGCAGCCATCATCTTCTCAAGGTGCAAACAGGAAATAAACTGCTCTGGTCATCTGACAATTTGCACTAACCATGTGCTAAGAATTTGCACTAACCACATCAGTCAGCAAGGTTTTTAGAGCTTTACAAATTAAAAACTTTTTTTATGGTCACTATTGTGGGATTAAATGGGTTAAAGTTGCTACGCCATTTTGCACAACAAAACATAATGCTGAAACATGTCTAAAAGGCAGACTCGAACATTGAATCTGTAGAAGATTTTCCCAGTGTGAAGTCTTGGATATCACTTAGTCATAATTCTCACTCAGAGCACTTGTGACCTCTGTCAAATGGCATTAAATTTACTTTAATGGAATGTATTCTAAAATGAGGCTTTTTGCTCTTACAATATCTGCCTGTCTCAATATTAAGATCTTAATGTTGCATCTAACACTGCTTTTCTCTCTTCACAGGTGAACGAGATCTATCATGACCATTCTCTCGGGGCACGAATAAACGTGGTGCTAGTTCGGATTGTTTTGGTCGATGCCAGAAAAGTAAGAAGCATTAATCTACTGACATCATGCATCAGATATCAGATGACAAGTTAAAGACAGCATGAATTCAAAATTAGCCATATTTGTTTTTTTATTTTTTTTATTACACATTTCTGTATGATCATTATGTTATGATTCATCATTGCATCTTTTGTGCAATTTGCTCAGCCTATGAAACAACTTAACTTTTTCGACTGACGTCACAAAACCCTGTCATTAATTTTTTTCTTAAATATCTTATATTGCTCAGAAATAAGCATATTTGTGGCAAACAGCCTTTCATGATTAATTTAATCCAGTCATATATCTAGTTATGTTGGTGAGCTTGGGCATTTCATGTTGTATAGTTTATAATGGTTTATAGTCATATCAAATGTGAACTGTCATTTCTTTTGTTAAATACATCACAGACAAATATTTGTAAACGATTTGTAGGCTAGCTTCCAAAAAAGTTGTAAACATTTGTGACAGTTTCAACATTTTTGAGGAGTCCCACACATTCAGTGTGGCTTAACCAGTGTTTTGAGTTTAGGATTGGGCTATCTGTTTTTTATTTGTCTCAAACAGGAAATAAACTGCTCTGGTCATCTGACAATTTGCACTAACCATGTGCTAAGAATTTGCACTAACCACATCAGTCAGCAAGGTTTTTAGAGCTTTACAAATTAAAAACTTTTTTTATGGTCACTATTGTGGGATTAAATGGGTTAAAGTTGCTACGCCATTTTGCACAACAAAACATAATGCTGAAACATGTCTAAAAGGCAGACTCGAACATTGAATCTGTAGAAGATTTTCCCAGTGTGAAGTCTTGGATATCACTTAGTCATAATTCTCACTCAGAGCACTTGTGACCTCTGTCAAATGGCATTAAATTTACTTTAATGGAATGTATTCTAAAATGAGGCTTTTTGCTCTTACAATATCTGCCTGTCTCAATATTAAGATCTTAATGTTGCATCTAACACTGCTTTTCTCTCTTCACAGGTGAACGAGATCTATCATGACCATTCTCTCGGGGCACGAATAAACGTGGTGCTAGTTCGGATTGTTTTGGTCGATGCCAGAAAAGTAAGAAGCATTAATCTACTGACATCATGCATCAGATATCAGATGACAAGTTAAAGACAGCATGAATTCAAAATTAGCCATATTTGTTTTTTTATTTTTTTTATTACACATTTCTGTATGATCATTATGTTATGATTCATCATTGCATCTTTTGTGCAATTTGCTCAGCCTATGAAACAACTTAACTTTTTCGACTGACGTCACAAAACCCTGTCATTAATTTTTTTCTTAAATATCTTATATTGCTCAGAAATAAGCATATTTGTGGCAAACAGCCTTTCATGATTAATTTAATCCAGTCATATATCTAGTTATGTTGGTGAGCTTGGGCATTTCATGTTGTATAGTTTATAATGGTTTATAGTCATATCAAATGTGAACTGTCATTTCTTTTGTTAAATACATCACAGACAAATATTTGTAAACGATTTGTAGGCTAGCTTCCAAAAAAGTTGTAAACATTTGTGACAGTTTCAACATTTTTGAGGAGTCCCACACATTCAGTGTGGCTTAACCAGTGTTTTGAGTTTAGGATTGGGCTATCTGTTTTTTATTTGTCTTCATTTTTTGTTTAATGGAAGATGGATGGTGTGATTGGAAAACGTGTTTGGTGCTGCTAGTAGCGCAGAAATTTTCGTAGAAATTTTCGTAGTTGAGGTTTCATCTAAGACTTCATGTTCAGACTTTAGTTTTCACAGTGAGTGAGCACTGATGTAACCTAAAAAAAAATGTTTTCTCTTTATGCAAACCCCCAAATGATCCATTTCGTCTGTAGCTGTTTAGCACTTTGCAGTTCTGTATCATGACAGTTTGACATAACGCATCAGTGGCAAACATGTATAAGATACACACTCCGTTCCTCCCTCTCTTCCACCCTCTGTCTCACACTCACACCTACATAAACACATAAGCACACCGCTAGCTTAGCTTACATGCACATTTTTTTCCCACCCGCTTTTGCTGGGTGCTCACCATGGCCTAGGGCCTGTTATTCCACCGGACTGAGCAAACAGGAACTAAAAGCATAGAGTTCCCATGGGAGTCTTTTCAAAGTCGCACGCCTTCACAGTTCAACACCAAAGCACACAGAGTGCTGATGTTATGCAATTGCTTCCCAATACCCCCCACCCCAACACATAAACACGCACACACCAGCACCTCCCCTATGGGACCAAGCAAAGGATTCTGGGAAGAAGAATCAAGAATGCAAGATAAACAATCAATGATGACCCTGCCTCATTCATTAACACAGCTCCACAAAACGCTGTTCTTCCTGTAACTGGAGATCAGGGAGAGGCTGATCTCAGATCAGGTATCCAGCCTCAGATGTGGTTGACCTGATAGTGACCACAGTTCTAGGTTCAGCTTTCATCTGACACAGTTACTCACGAAGAAAGTCCCATATCTCTTTAAAGGTGGGGTATGTATTTTTTCAAAAACGCTTAAGAAAACTGAGTCGGGCCTAGTACCAAAACAAACTTGTAGCCAATCAGCAGTAAGGGGTGTGTCTACTCATGATGCGGAGGAGAGAGCGCTCAGTGCAATGGACATTAGCCGAGCCGAGCGACGAGCCGATGACAGAAAGATATAACGTTAGATGGCAGATAAAAAACAAAAGAGGAAAACGTCTGCGGAACAATAGAAGGCTTACGATAAGGCAAGAAGTAGGACCCGTGTAAATATCGGATCAGCTTTCCAGCGCTGGAGAGAACTCAAGGAGCGGAAGGCCTGCTATCGGATGCCGAGGTTGCTTTGTTTCTTCTCGATAGGTGAGTAACACCGTGTCTACACCGGACGTGTTCCGCCGCAACAGCTAAAGTCTGTCTACACCGGACGCGACAAAAGGGACCGTTGAAAATCATTTGAAATTTGTGTCAACACGTCATAAATAGAACACAGCAGCAGTTTTCTGTCGGGGATTTGTCGTGCCGTGCCGCGCCGCATCCAGTGTAGACAGCATCACTGATTATAATGAGTTCTATAGTACGCTCGCGTTCGGTGTAGACACGGTGTAACATTGGTTTTGCTTTATTTCACAGAACTAATCGTTGCCTGGGTTGCGTACGTATGTGTGGGGCGGAGCTATCAAAATAGGGGCGAGACCCTTTTGGGGTAGGGGCGTGTTTGTTTTGGTGATTTCAAATATCAACATTGGCTACCAGAAATCACTTACTCTGCCTTTAATGTATCAGTTTATCCACCAGGAACAGGGATATTAATGATCTTTATTTCACAGAACTAATCGTTGCCTGGGTTGTGTACGTATGTGTGGGGCGGAGCTATCAAAATAGGGGCGAGACCCTTTTGGGTTAGGGGCGTGTTTGTTTTGGTGATTTGAAATATCAACATTGGCTACCAGAAATCACTTACCCCACCTTAATATCTCACATAGACAGAAATGAGGATAGTATTAATTAATTGATTCTTTTTATAAGTGAATCATTGATTCATTCCTATTAATAATTGACTCCTTATTGTTAATCACTGAAACAATGAGTGAGTGAGTGAGTGAGTGAGTGAGTGAGTCATTGAAAGATTCATTCAAACTATTAGTTCACAACACAGATTCATTCAAGAAGTGACTGTCAAGTCAGTGAATTATTTCCTTAACCGATTTGTTAAGACTCTACTTATGACTGGATTATTAAATCATTCACATGAATCACGTGAGGCAATTTGTAAGCAATTCAATCAATAATTTCTGAGTGGGTCATTGAGTCATTTTTCCTATGGCATCCTATGTGTATATGACTTTCTTCTTTCAGACGAATCCAATCTTGAGTTACATTAAAAATTGTCATTGCTCTTCCAAGCTCTATAATGGCAGTGGGCGAGTGTTTTTCAACAGTCCAAAAGAAGACAAATAAAGAGCATCTATCCATAATAAAACGTGCCTCACACGGCTCTGTTCACACTTTTCTTTCTAGCCATTCCGGATGTCGTAGGACGTAGGCGTAGCGCACGCGCCGGTGATTAGTGACGAACGCGGAAGTTCGTTGGAGAGAGAGTAAAACTAAACGCCGGTCATGAATTAGAAGCATAAAACGAGGATTTGTAAAGAAAAATGTCAGAGGATTTCGATTACTTTGCTAAAGTAAGGAAACTTTGCTTCCTTTGCTCCTGTAAACAAACTCACGAGACTAGCATATCTCACAGGCGGGTGCACAATGCATACGTCCTACGTCATCCGCCCGGAACGGCTTGCACGTACAACAGTTAGAGGAAGTGAGAGAAAAGTGTTTATAATGTTTTAAATATGGATATTTTTCTTTCAAAAACTCATCGATACGCTACAGGAGGCCTTTATTCACCCCCTGGAGCCGTGTGAGGCACGTTTTATTATGGATGGATGCACATTATTGGACTTCTTTTGTACTGTTTAAAAAACAACACCCACCCACTGCCATTATAAAGCTTGGAAGAGCAAGGACAATTTTTAATATAACTCTGATTGGATTCATCTGAAAGAAGAAAGTCGTATACACCTAGGATAACCTTGAGCGTGAGTAAAACATGGGCTAATTTTCTTTTTTGGGTGAACTAACCCTTTAAGCCTTTCAATTAATCAGATCTTTCAACATTGTTTGTTTGAGCTACCTGGCACAGCAACATTTACTCAACCGATGGCCTGATTTAGTGCCACTAGTGGCTCAGAAATTACACACTTCACCTTTAAATGAGAAAATCTAGAGACAAACTAAAGTGAGCTTTGAAAGAGCAATTTTCCTCTGGGATCATCTGAATAATATGATGTCTAGAAAAAAAACTCTTAATCAATAGTGAAGTTAACACCTACTCCATTTATTCAATCAGTATCAGGTTCAGGAAGAAAGGATCTTTTCTCCAGGAGTGCTATCTGGATGCGTAACCCATGAGGAAGATATTTTTAAGCCACTTAAACATGACAATCCATCACCTTTCTATCTCTGCGATGGAGCTTACCATTACCACAAATGTCAGTTCACCCAGCGGGAGGAATAGCTCACAACGCTATGGTGCCCTCAAATTTGGCTCTTCTTACTGAGACATTATACCACCCCCAGCCATTATGATAAATGGTGCTTTTTCCTCTGTGACAGCTAGTGTGTGGGGTTACATGGTGATTACGTGCGGTTTCAGGTGAGATGGAGAGACAGAGGTCCACGGCGGGTCAGGCAGATGGCGTTTCCTGCGCTGATTTGTGGTGATTGTCCCTCTGGCCTGGTCTTTCTAGGATTGAGTTCTTAAAATGCAAACTGTCCCACATGAACTCATCAGGCGGTTGGCACACAGGTCTCTCTCTCTCTGTTTATCTGTCAGTTCTCTCTTCATCTCTGTCCCTGTGCTCGTACAACCTTTGGTTTCCTTTCCATTCTGTCTTTTTCCTTCCGTCTGTTGCTGGTCACGCTTCGTCTGCCTCTCGCTGTGGCTTAAAATGTTGTTTAACTCCATTCAGGGATGCAGTGGCCATAGGGAGTACCGGGACATTCCCAGTGGCTCGGTTGACCTGTGGGCTGGCTGTCGAAACCATATTTAGATAAAAAGTAAATATACAATGATTTTAAACGGCAAAAACCATGCTGAAATCATATGGCAGGCTGGCCACTTCCCAGTGGTAGAGTCTGGCATAGACGACATGCTCTAGACACAAAATAAAAGCAATTGAATGCATCCCTATTATCTGTTTTCATATAATATTTATTTTTTATTTTATTTCAGCTTTATTCAAATTAACAAAAATATATAAAAAAAAAAAAAAAGTTTTAGTTAACTATTATAACCCTGGTTTCCGTCCAAGTTAAATATTTAATTAAAAATCAGAAACAAAACATTCATGACAAAACATTCATGAATACACCAGCATTTCCATTCTTTGTGTTCAAGAGAACAAAACTGTCACTGCCAGGGGGTTGACGCAAACATGTTTTCTTCTGCGAGTGAGTTATTCAGTCACATGACTTGAGGCAAAGTCACATGTCCTTTTTATTTTCCATTATAGTTTATGTCTTACTCAATAACAAATGATCTACCTTCATATTGGCACATTGGTCTTTCCACCCAGCTTTTTTATGCAATGGACCATACTCTATTTTTAAAAATTATTCAGAAATTTGTTTTAAAACAAAATAATGAGCACACAATCCTAGGAAGTACAATTCCAGAATGTGTCTGACTGAATATGCATAATTTTTATAATAAACACATTCTTACAGGATTATCAGGTCAGCAATGACTAAATACCCACAGTGCTTTAAATGTAAATGTACTAATAGCTAATAAAGCTAGTTCATACAAACGGATTATTTAATTAAAACAAAACACACACACACACAGAACTCGATTCATGGCTTCCATAACTCAAACGCTGTATGGTTAAGGTGGGAAATGTCCTGGGATGTTAAAACCATCATCCGCATGTAGTACTTAGAGATACTTCCAATTAAATAGAGGCACATTGATGCAGTTGTTCCATTTTAGTAAATTCATCACAATTTTGTTAACCCTTATCTCAACCTCACCCCTCATTCAGTGTGAAAACCTTTCCATGTTTTTTTCTTATTCACACTCACTCTAGATCACTCTAGATCACCCACCTATTTCAAAAGCACTGCCACAGATATACATCTTTCTCCATCTGTATCTTTTTCTCTCCACCTCTCCCTCCCTCTTTTTCTTGCTCTTACACAAATGCCTGGTTGTTCCACACCCACTCCTCTCCCCTGCCGCCTCAGCCCCAATCAGCATGCAGCCTCACCCGTCTTGCCAGCAGGTTGTCCATCATTCCCAATTACTGTGGCAACCGTTGCTGCCGGCAGCGGCACGCACGATCAACCGAGTGACCCCGCACACCTCCAACAAGGTTCCAACATCACAGTCTCTTCCGCACATCTGTTCCGCTCTTCCCCTCACCTAGCACCGAAAAGATAAAGAGACCCTGACATGACACACCCAGCATCAATCCACAGAGCGTGTGTGCATGTGTGCATCTTCGGTGAATCACAGAGAAGATAAAGATGCCGAGACGTTCTTTTAATGAGCACGCTTTCACGTCTGTCATGTATTACGTTAACAAGAGGAAGTCTCTTGTGTACAGAATTCTGAGAAGACACCCTTTGTGACATTATCAACAAACATCTCAGTGATGGAATCAAGATAAGTGAAGATAAATCATGTGTTTAGTAACTAGTTTACATTAGTCTGCTGTCTGTGCACAAACCTACGGCGTAAAAATCCTCAGTCACAAATAAATGAAGTGTAATGAGAGAATAAAGCGCTAGATGCACTTGTTCTGAGAGTGATGCTGAGTTGAGTTATTTCCCACCACCCTCTTTCTTCCCATGGTGCACAGCTATGCATTGGAATGGTGAAGCCTCCCTCTACTGGTTGGTGAAGACATTGCAGCGTAGTTCTCAGAGTTCATGACCTTGATGCATAAAATGCACAAGAGTGAGGCACAGGGAAAGAGAGGCAGTTTCAGGACACTCATCTGGAAAGGATCTCCTACTTCCATGGCTCTCGTGGCCACGTCATCAAAGCACAGCCACGCATTCCTGTCTGGATGTTTCTTTGCACACATTTACCACACTGCACAGATTATGGAAGAAAAGCGGTGCAATGTTTACGTCTGTGTTCACACGGGCGTGAAATGTAGCAATAATAACAGCGTCACGGCTGCCGTTGTTAACAATGTAAACTTTTTTTTCTGTTGTTGTTATTATATAAACATTTCATATCAACGTGTTCAGTTTCACTATACAACTTATTTTGATTGGATTGTTCAGTACTTTCAACATCAAAGGACGTTAATGATACTAGATGATACTAGCTGATTGATTAACAATAGTGCCGAGCTTTTGAAGTTTGTGTTGATGTAATTGTTTAGGAGTCTGTCTTCTGATTAAAGGAATGGTCTAGGTTCAACATCTGTGATTTGACTACAGAAAAAAGTTTCGAGTCATCCCTCAATATTAAAACAAACAACAATTGTTCAGTGTTCAGTAATGTACTAATAATGGATGTCTAAGGGTACATCATATTAAATTTAACAGCTTTACTAGCATTAAATGGTCAAGATGTTTGATATAACTAAAAAGACAATGTTAGTATACAGTACTGCAATTTACCTCTCATTTTAACTCGTGTAATTTTAAGTCTTGTGGTTATACACTGCCATTCAAAAGTTTGAAGTCAGTATTTTAAATAAATTAATGGTTTTATTCACATTAAATTGATCAAAAGTGACACTGTTACAACTAATGATGCTACAAAAGATTTCTACTTAAAATAAATGCTGTTCTTTAAACCTTTCTATTAATCAGAGAATCCTAGAAAACAAATCACAGTTTAAACAACACTGATAATGAGAAGAACTATTGATAGTAAGTTTGCTGAAATTAATTGGAGCCTCAGTGAGCATAAGAGATTTCTTTAAGAAACATAAAAAAATCTTGCCGACCCCAAACTTTTGAAAGGTAGTATGCATACTTACATTGGTCTGGCAGTAACAATCATCAGTACTTTGAAAAGTTAATCACCCTCATGTCAGTTCAAACCCTTATGAAATTCTTAAAACTAATAAAATGCTTTGGAATTCTAGTTGTTTTTTCCCCCCATGATTTCAAGCTCCAAAAAAGTTTCCAAAGCATCATAAAAGTCATCCATTCAATCCATGTGCTGTATTCCAGGTCTTCTGAAGTAATAAAACAAAAGTAAAAGAAAAACATTTTATAATAGATTCTTTCAGAAATTGATAAAATGTTAAATGGTAAACTATTCCATTATTAGTTGTACTGAACCCATAACTTAATTTAGAATTTTTGTAATTGATTCACACCTTGACCAAATGTAACTTTGAGTGTAACATCCTTCTCATGTATGCTTTCAGTCCACGAGCCTCATTGAGCTGGGTAATCCTTCTCAGAGTCTGGAGAATGTGTGTCGCTGGGCTTTCGAACAGCAGAGGAAGGACACCACTGATAAAGAATACCATGATCACGCCATCTTTCTCACTCGTCAAGAGTTTGGACCCACAGGGATGCAGGGTAAAATCAACACACATGCACACTAACACAGGTAATCATCAACCTCCAGAGATTGAAACATGCTAACAAAAGCAGATGATCTTTCAAACATGAACACATGCGTTCAGTTTGAAAAATATGTATCTGTAAGGACATGCCACAATGATCTTGAAATGACCTTGACTTCAGGCCTCAGACCAGTGGAAGATAAGTGTTAGAAATAACATGTGATGAAGATGTGAGGAGGACAAACTCGGTCAGCTGTTCTTATGTTTTGCTAGGTTATGCTCCTGTCACAGGCATGTGTCATCCTGTACGGAGCTGCACTCTCAACCATGAGGACGGTTTCTCATCAGCTTTTGTCGTGGCGCATGAAACCGGCCACGTGTGAGTATCTGCTACAGTATGTCAAAAGATACCTAATATATTTTCATTTATACAGCAGTTCGTTCAGGTCCTTGAGTTATGTTCCTTGAATCTGATTGGTTGAGCATCATTCGAACAGCTGACTTTCCACTGTTTGTGTCGCTAATTAGTGTATTAGTGGTGTGGATTTTACAGTGTACTCTTTCTGCATGTTACATTGAAATGTCAGTAGGTGGCGATAAGTGATTGTCTTGTTATAAATTAATCAGTGAATCATTTTAAATAGTTTGCAACCAATTTATTCATCATGGATTCATTGAGTAAACAAGTGACTGGCTGCATCTGAAATTGCATACTTCCTACTGTAGGTGCAAAGCAGTATGTAAAAAGAGTAGTATGTTCAGATTCACAGTATTGATAACATAGTACTCAGATGACGTACTACTTTTGGCAAGATTTTGAAGTGTGCATCAGAAAGTACCTTCTTAGAGATTATGCGATTTTGGACGCAGCCACTATGAGTGAATCGTTGAGTAATTTTCTCAATAGATTTGTTCAAAAACAAATTCATTCAGGAACAGAACAAGTGACAGACTATATGATTGAATCATTGAATTATTCACACAAGCAATTTATTCAAAACTCTTAAATTCTCATAATTCCACATAAGTCTAAAAATACCAAAATAAGGGGCAAGTTGTTCTCAAAAAAGTAAATTGTATATATGCGTGCGCGTTATAGGTTGGGAATGGAGCATGATGGGCAGGGGAATCGTTGTGGAGATGAGGTGCAGATGGGGAGCATCATGGCTCCACTGGTGCAGGCGGCTTTCCACCGCTTCCACTGGTCCCGCTGCAGTCAACAGGAACTGGGCCGCTACCTGCAGTGAGTGCTAGACAGACATACACAGACAATCTTGACTAGTACGACTGTGGATTATTTACCATCTCATTCTGCCTCTGAAGTTCGTATGATTGTCTCCGTGACGACCCGTTCGAGCACAAATGGGAGGAGCTTCCACACCCGCCCGGGCTGCATTACTCCATGCACGAACAGTGTCGCTTTGACTTCGGGGCCGGATACATGATGTGCACAGCGGTGAGTCTTGAATTCACTGCTGCACAGGCTTTTTCATTCAAGTAATGCATTATTATTATGAGATTGTAAAATCACTACGAGCATGTATAATTCTACAAGCATTCTTCCTTGACAACCATCAGCTTGCCATAACAATCACCATTTGTGGTCATTGGGTTCACCGTAGGTTGCTGTGACCCAGTATGATGTGTGTTATACATGCCAATAATGCATTATGAATGGAACACAGTATTTTGTGTTAAGTGACTGAGTTTTGATATCTGTACATGCCAAAGGGAAAAGGCTTAATGGAACAGAATAGTGCACCAAAAATGTTCAGTCTGTCACTATTTTACTCGTGCTCATGTTGGTTCAAACCCGTATGACTTTCTTTCTTCTGTGGAGCACAAAAGAAGGAGCTTTCAAGCTTTATAAAGGAGACAAAAGCACCATTTAAAGTGGTCCCTATGACTCATGCACTTTATTCCAAGTCTTCTGAAGTAATGTAAGTTATACAGTTACCATTCACCGCTCTAGCTCTTTTTGGCATGTTCTTCAGAGAAGCAGCATAAATTCATTAACAAATTCTTCTTTTGAGTCAGATCTTTTCAAATATTTTTTTCATAATTTTGCAAGTTTAAAAGCAATTAAAACATTCTGTGTGTTCCACAGAAAAAAAAGTCATACGGGGTGGGCTAACATGAGGGTGAGTGAATAATGAAACCATTTTCATTTTTGGGTAAACAAATCTTTTAGTGAACAAGAGATGAACAAGGGGCCGGATACATAAAACATTCTAAAGAAAAAAATGTCTTCTTAACTGCCATTTTCATTAAATTTTTTAACTTAAGAAAAAAGTTACGAATATTTTGCATTCTCAAAAATTCTTCTTAAGAACGCTATCTTATTTCTTAAGATTGTTCTTAAGACAAAACTTTCAAGAACTCAAAAGAATTTTCTTAAAAATCATCATAAATAACTTAAAGTTAGGATAGCCTCAGACTTGTCTTAAATTCCAAATAGTTAGAATGATTTAATGAATTTATTGGGGTATTTCAAATTATTTGATATATTTAGGCATTACAACACTAGCTACATAATTTACATAGTAGGACTAGTAATAAGAATAGCTACAAGACTAGCTACATTAGACTAGCCACAACAACGCTAGCTACATATTATACAGTACATAGTAGGGCTAATAATAAGGGTGTGCACAAGTTTTCTGAAGTGATCAGTGATGACTGATAATGTAAACAATTCTACAAAAATGAGTAGAAATGAGTAGAACGAGTAGAAAAACCCATACACAGGACGCGTTTAATGTAGCAGAGCGGACAAACATACTGGAAGCATTCACTCAGAAGAGAACACAAAAACAGCACAAAAATGAATGAAACGGATTGCTGCAGCTTGAGACATTCTCTTTAAAAGTAACTGTTCAAAAACATGGCGCATTAAAAACGTGAAGCCGAGTGTTCGCACTCATGATTATTAGAGTAATCTGAAGGAAGCGCAAGAAGGCAATCCTTGAAGTGAGTCTTCAGTCAAGTATTCAGATAAAGACTGTAATTTTCTTCTTAAGAAAAAAAGATGTTTTTAAGAATATATTTGCAAACTTCTTAAGAATCTTTCAATTGCACTTAGGAGTATTCAGTAACACTTGTTGTCCTTGTTACGCATGTTACATGTACTTACTATTATAATAGCAATAAATTATGCATTATTACATGCAACAAACCCTAAGCCAAACCCTAATGCTAACCCTAACCATATAGTAAGTACATGTAGTTAAATAATATTACTCAGTACTTAAATTCTGTATATAATTACACTGTAACAAGGACACCTTAAAATAAAGTGTAACCAAGTATTCTTACAAACTTCATGGAATTCATCTTAAGGAATCTTACAATTTTATTTTGTGAATCCTGCCCCAGGTTTTAAAACTACTCCACAGCACATCACCTGGTTTTATTTTATATAGATGTTGATATAAAATAAATTCCAGATTGACAATTAAAAAAAAAAAAAAACATTTGATGAACACCAAATTTCAAAATGAAGTCACTCGTCTATTGGAAAGAAAATGCGTGGCTATAATTATACTGTTTGTAATTCACTTTTGGGAATAAAATTGATCAGTTAATCAAAACCAGATGTCATGAGTTTGATATCCCTTGATAAACTGGATAAAAATGATTTGAAGAATAATTTCTGCTCACAAAATGAGATTCCAGCTGAACAGCACTGCTTGGACTGTACTTCACTGTCTTGTTAAACCATTCCCTTAGCTGCAAAAGGTGGGGCCATCAGGAGCCCAGGTAAGGCGTTCTCCTCAGTCGCAACGTGGCCTCTTTCGTTTGAACTTGATTCAATTCAGATGGTCTTATTGTTAATCATTACATGTTATTGGTTGGTGTTCAGCTCATTGTCATTTTGCAGACACATATGCAGTAGGCTACTAAACCCACAGTTGTTTCTGAAATAATTGGCTTTCACAAGAATTAAAAGGAGTGTTTGAGTTCAATACAAACTTAAGAATTTAAATAATTTTGGCTCGTACTTCAGTTTCTAAAAAAAAAAAAAAAATGTGTGTACAGAAATGCACATATACATGCACATGAATACTCAACGAAAGAGCAAATTCCACACATAGGAATTGTATTAGGATAATGCACAACTGGAGGTTCATCCACCTAGAACAGTAGTCCCACTGCTTAACGGTTGATTTAGACACCTTTGCAGCTTAAGTAGCACATTTTTGTATGGAAGAATTGATATAAGTGCTTTAGCAAGAACATTTCTGCTTCTAAACCCTGTGGAATGCCTGCTACTAGTGTAAACTCTGTTTTTGTTCTGTTTTTCGAACTGAAGTAGATCTCAGACCTCTTTTAAACATTCTTTTAATGTCAAGTTAACCAGGTCATTGCAGTCTGGTGACTTTTCAGAGAGTTTTCTACATTAATTAGAAAAAAATATATCAATGAATAGATTGCTGACTTGAACAAGTTTAACCGTACAGTTCTCAGAAGCATCTAAAAATCTCTACAGGTGCTAAATAATCGTCTAGCTTTTGGCCTAGCAATCTTTTCGCTATTTAGCTTGGCAAACTCCAAACAATATTCAAACTGAGACAACAGTAGCAGCCAGCTGGCTACTGCTGAAAACTGTGAGCCATTATTTTGCACTTGGTGCCTTGATGTGTTTAAAACGCTTGTTGGGTTTAGGATCTTGCTAAATGTAGTGTCATCATTAGTACCACAGCCAGAGATTCTGGTCTTGTCTACTACGCCTCTCAGAGGAAGGAAAACAAAGAGAGATTTTGCTTAACGTTTGACCTTAATTGAGGCCATATCCCATCACTGGCCAGCATTCTGTTGTCTAACTGTGCTGTTGGTCACAGGCTGTCTCATAACTTAAAGAGTTTTCGTCATTGCTTTGATTTGCCTGCATGAGATTGCTTTGTTACATAAATGTAACCGGCCCATGAATGAAAATGTATCATACTGTTTCATCATGCCTGAACAACTGTTATAATATTATATTTTATATTATATTAAGTAACTTTTTTTTCAATTATTAGAAATTTACAGGGCTGTTTTAATAGTGGTGATTGTACATAATTTTGTCTTTGTAATGAACAGTTTACTAGATTTACCTAATCAGATGTCCTTCAGTTTGATCCTACCCTGACCAGCTGTGTCTTGTCGTCAGATTTCTCTCATTCATTGTGTGAGTTTGAGAATTATTTTTCTTCTCTCTGTTCCTCTGTTTCTCAGTATCGCCCCTTTGACCCCTGTAAGCAGCTTTGGTGTGCTCACCCAGACAACCCCTTTTTCTGCAAGACCAAAAAAGGTCCGCCCATCGATGGCACTAAATGCGGTGATGGGAAGGTACCACTCAGCCTTTCATACAGATCCATCCTGAGACTCACTTGCTTCCTCTGTGTTTATGTGTTGCTCTCTTCCTCTCTCAGCACTGTTTTAAAGGCCACTGTATGCAGTTGACTCCAGACATCATAAAGCGGGAAGGAAGCTGGGGGATGTGGAGTGAGTTTGGCGCCTGCTCTCACCCCTGTGGAAGGGGACTACAGTTTCGCACACGAGCGTGTGACAATCCGCGGTGTGTATCTATCTATCTGTTGGTCTGTCTAATTTTTTCATATATAGCTCATTTTTTTCCTTCCGTTAACCTCCTCCAGTCCAGCTAACGGTGGACGTATTTGCTCCGGCCCAAGTTATCAGTTCCAGATTTGTAATACGCATGAGTGTGAGGACCCGTACCACGACTACAGAGCCGAGCAATGTAGCATGATGGACAACAAGTTTGAGTACCAGAATACCTGGCACCACTGGCTGCCTTATGAACACCCCGACCGTAAGTAATACGGCAGATTTCATGACCACACAAAGTTGAAAACAGCTTTTCCTCTGCAAAAAAGACACCTTGAAAACAGTTGGTCTAGATCAGTGATGGGCAAACTTGGCCCTTCCAGGCCACTTTCCTGCAGAGATTTGGTCCAACCCTGATAAAACTCACCTGCCTGTAGCTTTCTAGTAGTCTTGAAGACAATGATTAGCTGGTTCAGGTGTGTTTGATTAGAGTTGGAGCTAAACTCTGAAGGAAAGTGACCTGGAAGGGCCAAGTTTGCCCACCCCTGGTCTAGATTAAATGTTTTTTTTATAATGTAAATAATTTTTAAATAAGATCTTAAATATTTTTATTTGTAAAGTTTATTTAAATGAATATAATGCAGTTTGAGTTTTAAATATATATTTTAATTCTATTATTTAAATCAGTGGTTTTCAAACCGGTCCTGCGAGCACCCCCAGCACTGCACATTTTCTGTGTCTCCCTTATCTATCACACCTGATTCAACTCATCAGCTCATTAGTAGAGACTGCAAGACCTGAAATGGGTGTGTGAGATATAGGGAGACATACAAAATGTGAGGTGCTAGGGGTGCTTGCAGGACCGGTTTGAAAACCACTGATTTAAATTATTTACATTTTATTTAAAGCTTACTTTAGATTGTTTCCCACTCCTGTCCTGCACAATCTAGCTCAGTTTGTCAGCCAGGCCTGTAACCAGACTGATGTAATCCATCTCTCCGCACAGCTGTTTTCACTTACAGAGTGGGTACACATGAAAATATGATTTCATTCAAACCCCCCTCTTTTTTCCACATGTACATCTACACTATTCATGACATCACTTAGAACATAAAATCCCTCCAGTTATTAGCACTGTGGACATCTGCCTTAGCCTTACGATCAACACAGGCACATCCAAAGTAATTCTCATATAAAGAACCTTTTTGAGCCTTTTTTTTTTACTGTCATGTCAATTACGACTGAACTGCAGAATATTTCAGAAAATAATGTTTGTGGTTCACAAAATGGGCTTGGATACCTTTGATCAGATGAGATAATCATTTTTACATGATGTTTTTTACATTTTACTCTCTGGACAAATGTACTCTGTTGGTCTCGATTTGATTTGTGTGGGTTTGCTTTTTTGCTGTGGAATAAAGTACTTGTTTTGCTTGTACTTTTTCCACACAGAATGAAATTAAATGCTTTTAAATAACTGGGACATTCAACAGGCATCACAGTGTTCGTAGATAATTTTGGTCTTTATGAAAAATTGAACTGGACTTATTAGAATGTACTTCTGGAACAGAAGCGTCCAGTTTTTGTATTAGCTGGGAAACTGTTTGGGATGATATAATGTACAATGCTTTTATAGACCATGTAAAGACTATCAAGAGACCTTTTTTTGTATAAACCATGGAATAATGTTATCTAACTATCCTCTGTTGGACAAAGATGTACGGTATTAGATGTGGAATATTTTTGGAAATTTAAATGGTATATGATCAACATTTCTTTTATTTTACTTAATTTTTTTCTTAGAATTACAGTTTGTATATTTTTCTTTGAATTCAAGATCATTTAAATCCTTATAAATGTGCATTTGATCTCAGTCCATCACTCAGGGATCTCTCTTGTCTTGTTTTCCATAGCTAAGCAACGCTGCAAACTGTACTGTCAATCCAAAGAAACGCGAGCTGTAGTCAACATGCAGACTCCGGTGGAACCTGGAACACGCTGTTCCTACAAAGATCCCTACAGTGTGTGTGTGGCCGGAGACTGTGAGGTGAATAGCTGTGTGTACCGTTTGTAAAGGTTTGTGTTTAGTGGCCTGTTGCTCATGATGTCTCTCTCCCTTCAGAAAGTGGGCTGTGATAATGTGGTTGGATCAGCTCTACAGGAAGATAAGTGTGGCGTCTGCGGGGGAGATGGAACCAAGTGCAAGACTCACAAGTTTAACTTCACCTTTGTAGAGAAGAAAGGTACATTTCCGCTGCACACATGTTGGCTCTGTTCCAAAACCTAATGGAGGCAGCATTTTAAGGCATCACAGGCCCAGTCCAGACACAATGGCTCTTCCAAACATAGGCATAATTATAAGCCTCATAAGATACCTTCTTTCAGACAAATTCTTTGCAAAGAAAATCCCATAACACAGTGCAACTCAGTGAAAAAATTACATGAAGCAAATGTTGGTTTCAAATACTATTAATTTAATACTGAAAAGTAGTGATGGATGCTTTCGAAACACTGCTTTGTGAAGCTTGTATCAAACTGCCATGAGTCATGTGATTTCAGTAAACAAAGCTTTGTTATGTCATATCTGTTTCAATGTTTACATTTTTAAAATGTTTAAAAACACATTTATAACAAAAGCAAGATTTGTAGTTACTAGTCTAATACTGGCCTGATTATCCAAGCTCTCCATATAACAAAAACAAAACAAGGTCTACAATTTAATAAAATAACACATATAGACAGTTCATGTTTAATAGTATTAGAAATTTCCGAAAAGCTTTGTTTCTTTAATCACATTTTTATGTTTATTAAAGTATTGAAGTAAAGTAATAGAGATTTGCAAATGTTTTGGTGTAGGTGTCATTAAAGTGCTGGAAGTTCCCAGAGGGGCGAGACATCTCTTCATCCAGGAACTTAATGGGACTACTCACATTTTAGGTAAAGCCTGATCATTTCCTGTAGTTTTGATTCATCAGATCATTTCCTGTTTGTTTGATTGCAGCTCTCTCTCTCTTTTTTTTTTTTTTTTTGCCAAATAGCTGTCAGGAATAAAGCGTCAGGTGATTTCTTTCTCAACGCCCATGGAGACTACCCAGAGACACGCTCAGTTATTGAAAAAGGTCTGGAATGGGAGTATGAAAATAAAAACAACAAGGACACCATTCAAACCAGCGGACCCTTGAAAAGCGACGTGGTTGTTATGGTAATCTCCCGTAGGAATCCACACACACACAAACATCAGTGAATACACAACTTGTCTTAATTGGTTGTCTTTAATTGTGTAATTGTTTACTAGATCCGAATGCATGGATCAGCCAAGGTGAAGGTGTCGATCAAATACATCACTGACAATGACAGACTGTGTGATGGTACCAATGAGAATAACATGGTCCCTGATAATGCGGTGCCATATTCCTGGGTGGTGAAAAGATGGACACCCTGTTCCAAGACCTGTGGAGGAGGTAGTTCACTGTAACCACAATCATTTATTTGAGAGTAGTTTAAGAGACAGCCAAGTTTCTACCATGACTGATCATTTGCTAAGTCCTGCCTTAAAACAATCTTGCCTCTATGACAGTACAGGTCTGAGCGCGGGATTAGTTTGATATTCTTTAACATGAAAATAATGAATATTTGTTTGTGTGTGTGTGCTGTTGTAGTGCTCAGTGACATGTGGTAATGGTACGCAGGAGAGGCAGGTGCTTTGTCATACCCGTGACAACACCATTGGACTCTGTCTGGACTCCAAACCTGCTGCATTGAGACCCTGCAGAATGGATCCCTGCCCAAGTGCGTATTTGATTATGTGCTCCCATTTTCAGAAACTTTCTTTAAGTCGAAAATAACAACCCGAAATGTCTAACAGATCAGTACATTCAAAATTGTAAGTCAACATGAAGTGCTGTTTGCAGCCTATTTTTAATTGATATATTTCTGGTTGTAGCAAGATATTAGAGTAGAAAAAATATAGGGCAGGACTTGAGAGCCATTGAGAATTGGTTGGATTGTTAAAAGTGGCCGTAACATACCAAAATGGAGTCAGATGGTTGGTGGGAAAGGGTTAAAAGTAATGCATAATGGATCTCTCTAAGATAAGGGTGTATATAACTGGTTACACTTTAAAATAAGGATGTGTACATTATCTAACATGATTGAACAATATTTTACATCATGTATTAGATATAAGATTTTTAAATGTTTTTGAAAGAAGCTCACCCAAGCTGCATTTAATTGATCAAAAGTACAATAAAAACAGTAATATTGTTTTATTACAATTAAAAATACATTTTCTATTTGAATATATTGAAATTTAAATGTAATTTATTCATGTGATGCAGTGCTGAATTTTCAGCAGCCATTACTTCAGTCTTCAGTGTCACATGATTCTTCAGAAATCATTCCAATATGCTGATTTGGTGCTCATGAAACATTTCTTGTTTGATGAGGGTTGTTGACAACAGTTGTGCTGCTTAATATTTATTCAGTAGGCTATTTTTTGTAGCATCATAAATGTCTTAACTGCCAGTTTTTATCAATTTAATGCATTTTGCTGAATAAAGGTATTCAATTCTTAAAAAAAACACCCTCACCCTGACCCCAACAATGAACTAGAACTTTCTAACATTAACTAGATTAATAAATAATAAACAATAATATGCAATGCTAGCTTTCTATGCCATCTTTATATGTCATCTTCCAAGCGCTAATCAGAAGTCGTGATATCGATTTTCATTTCATGTTGATGAAGACCAAAATATATGAAGCCAAGTATTCATATATGAAGTATGGTGAATTGGGATTATTTGAATGTACACATACTAATGATCTGTCCAGCATGCTTATTAATGTTATTAATGAAAGTTGAATTATCTGTAGCCTACTAGTTTTTGCAGAAATAACAGACTAATTCTTAACACGAATGAACACACTAATATAGTTGATTTTTCTTTCTTTCTCTCGCATTCTCTTTGTCTCCTGGGCTTTCTCCTTCCCAATCCCTCTCCCACATGCGACAGGGAGCGCTTCCGACTTCAACAAGCACGGCAACTTCCTGATACAGTGGTTGTCGCGTCACGACCCCAAATACCCCGTGCAGAGGATGTCAAGTAAAGCGTCTCTCTCCAGCCACGTTGTGGCGCTGCGCTGTCTCACCTCTCTCAGCTGGACCTTCCCTCTGTCTCTCTGCCTGGCTTTACAAGGCAAACTCCCCTGACTGCCTCCCTCTTCCGAGGCTTGCACGCTTCTTTTTCCTGGGTGGTGGTCCTCTTTTATGGGGCGTTCCGATAGGGGGAGGTTTCTCTGTTTCTCTCTCTCTCTGTCTCTCGCTCTATCTCTCTCTCTCCCTCTCCTTTGTGGAGCTCTGTGTTGTGAACGCTGGCCAGTAAGAAATTGTTGACAAAACAAAACATGTAAAAAATTCGGGGGATGTTCGTTAAAGGAGGGGCTTTGTGATTGGACGGGCAGCTTGAGGAGCTAATGATTGCGCTGAGCTTTCCGCAGGGGCGACGCGTTTGTTTGAATCACTGCCCTCTGCAAGCTGTTTCCATATGGCTCACGCTCTCAAGGCGGACGCCGTTTTACAGAGGCGCCGCCTGAGCTGCAGGTGTGAAGGGGAAAAAAATAAACATGAAAAGTGGCTAAAAGATAAAAAAAAGAAAAAAAAACCTAAGCTTTATTGTGAATGTGAACTTGTCACAATGAGGAAATCTTTGCTAAGTGCTCATTCCACATCCTAGTTCATTCTGGAAAACTGTTGGAACAAAAACAAACACGTTAAGATGTTAACATGGGACGTACTGTTGAACCGCCATCGTACGTGTTGGTGGCCGATGGTGAACATGAGGTGGAACTTGCTAAACAGGGTCGCTTTATTACACACGTTCGAATGCCATAACCACCTCATCCTCCATCCTCTCTTCGACTGTTAACAAATTCAATAAATGCAGCTTATTTGTGCTTGCAGACTTTAAACAAACATATAAATATATTTGTATTTATATATGAATATAAATCTATATGGGTGCCAATAATATGAATATGAATAATTTGTTTTACCATGAATAAGCTGTAGCTTATTAGCCTAACATGTTGACTGCTACTGATCGCTTTAATTCTTGACTGTTATGTGTATTTTTTTATTGATTTTACATAAATACAGAACTATAGCTATTTAATAATAGAAGTTAAGTGTTTCGGGGGAAGGGGAAGACCTATATTATGCAGGACTCGCTCAGCCAGTTGCCTCTCCATTTTATTTATTTATTTATTTTCAAGAGAAGTGGTTTCATTTTATCGGATTCATCCTGAACGAGAGAGATTCATGCACATTAAATATCTCCACGTGGTGATGAGTGACATGCGTTTTCGTCATGCCTTCGTATGTGCGAGGGTTTCCGACACGTGTCTGCCAGCATGCATTTTTAACGACAGTTACCAGTGGCCATACAAAAGACGACACATAAATATACCTCATGAACTTTCATCCACATCCGAGCGCACTCTTTTCGGGGGGGGGGTTGGGGGGTTGGTACATAGAGCGTAAGAACAATGCCTTACACTACGTTTGAATGTATCGGCATTTATCTGTGAGAGTGATGGCTTAGTGCACAGAAACCAGAGGCAGCTTCAAACAAAACCTGAAATAGAGCCAACTGATCAACCAATCATCACACATCCGAAAACAGTGGCTAACTCATTGGATACAGAGAGCGTTTTAGTGGAAACCTACACTCTGCATCTCTTTATCACTTCAGACGTGTCATTGTATTGTGAAACACATTTCTGTTGTGACTATGTAGCGAGCTATCCGAATTTTCATGCTCAAAGCCGTGGAGAAAACACTAGGAAAAGCCAGACCTTGCAGTGAGATACTGTAAATAAACATTGGTGTTTACTGTATTTAATAACATTTATGACTGTTATCTCCTTACTTATAAGAAAAAAATGCTAATATTATATACTATGAGTAACTGTCATGTTACTTCACTGGCCTAACTGCGTCTTGGCTGGCTGTTGTGGGGAAAAATGTCTGGGGAACATTCAGATGGACTTACGTGCACTGCGTCTATATGCACTTTGATTTATCAGGGAAACTTTATTAATGTTTTGTAAATGTTTAATATATGACACTTGTATGTGCCATGCCAGTTTTTACATAATCATGGAAATCCTGTATTTTATTTAACCAATGACCTATTTATTTATTTACCTGTTCATCTGAATTACCAATGGATCAATTGTTCTCAAAGTAATGAAGTGTTTAACCAAAGTTACTGTGAACTTGTACCTTTCAATACAGTTGATTATTTATTTTTCTGAAGAAGACAACTCTATCTGTATGTTTAAATGGGTGTGGGAGGAGTGCATTTCATAGTTTCAGTTTCTGTCATGATCAACTGCAAAAGTAGGAATAAAAAAAGTGTTATAAAAATGGAGAGAAAAAAAAATCGAATGGCTTTTTCCTGCCTGTGTTGTCGCTCTGCTTTCTGTCTATTTCTCTTTCACCATCTGTGGTAGAATTGCAGGTTATTTTGCAGAGCTGTTTTATTATTGTTTCAGTTGTGCTACAATAATAAGGATTACTGTAATCCTTATTTACCCTGTGAATCAGGGTAAAGCAAAAACACTGATATTTGCCATGTATTCACTTAATAATGGGTTTTTGTTGTGCAATGAACAATTTGTTTTAAATTTGAACAAATTTTCTGTTAAAGTTGTGTAAAACAGTTGTTTTTGCAATTTTGTGAAGGTCTCCTAAGCTGTCATTAATTTGTTTTTGATTTTTTTGTATATATCTGCATCATATTGATATATGCAGATATATATCCTACTCTCAGCTGTTAGCCACTGAAAATCCCTTTGACAATCACCAATTTTTGGAGGATCTTGCAAAATGTTTTAGCTAAAGATTATATAAATAAATATAATCCATATTCAGAAGGACACAAATAACCAAATTTATAGTCCATAAATAACCACATTCACAAGGAAGATTATTATTATTAATTATTATTATTATTAAAAGAAAACGGCATGTTAACCAACTCATCCTAACATGTTTAGTCCTCTAGTATGCATCTATATGCCTGTCTTTGCAGACTTGCTTAATGGTCAGTTCATAACTCTGTTTCTTCCTTTGCTTCAACTAATGCTTCTCTTTATTTTTATTTTTTTTTCATTTCTGCTTATTTCTTACTCAAACTTGTGAAAAGCATGAAAAGCTTAGAAGACACGTTTCTAGTTAGCTGCACATATCCTCATTAAACTCCTCATCATAGATTGTAAAAAATTATGTAATGTGATTGTTACCTTAAGAAGCTTTTTCTACTTGATCTGACCTTTAAATTTAGTTTTGATCACGTAAACAAATGTATTTAGCTTGTTGCGGTGATGTTAAATCATATATTTGATTTCAATGTACATACATATGTCTTATTAGGTGCCTCTCTTGTGTTGCAGAACGTTGTCATGGTGACCGTTCTGCATTCTGTCGCATGGAGGTGCTGCAGCAGTATTGCTCTCTGCCGGGCTTCCAGCGCATGTGCTGCAAGTCCTGCAAGGTTGGCAATATCACAAAGACCACGGTGACCACAAGTAAGCCACCATCCAAAACGAAAATCACCACCAACGGACGATCCACCACAACTCAAAGTCCCACACGCACAGAGTCCACCACCGTGTGGACCTCCACAGCAGACTTTTTGCCGACCACAGAAGGGAAAAGTGCCACATCTGTGAGCACACCTTGGTTATATACCATTTTAGCAATGTCGCCCTTTTATCCATATACTACAACTCCTATCTATAAGCCCGCTACTCCAGAACAGAGCACATCCTTTGCCATTACTACACCAAGTAGGATCACATCTGCACCTGCGGACGTGACCGAATTACCTGTTAGCACTGTTTCTGCAGCAACAAGGATCACATCTGCACTTGCAAATGTGGCAAACAGCACCGAATTACCTGTTAGCACTGTTTCTGCAGCAACAAGAATCACATCTGCACCTGGAAATGACGTGACCGAATTACCTGTTAGCACTGTTTCTGCAGCTACAAGGGTCACATCTGCACCTGCGGACGTGACCGAATTACCTGTTAGCACTGTTTCTGCAGCAACAAGGATCAAATCTGCACTAGCAGATGTGGCAAACAGCACAGAATTACCTGTTAGCACTGTTTCTGCAGCAACAAGGATCACATCTGCACTTGCAGATGTGGCAAACAGCACAGAATTACCTGTTAGCACTGTTTCTGCAGCAACAAGGATCACATCTGCACCTGCAGATGATGTGGCAAACAGCACCGAATTACCTGTTAGCACTGTTTTCCCAGTAATTTTCAGTGATCTGAATAATGGCACCACTGTCCAGTTTAAAGAGTTTGATGGGAGTAGTGGTGCACCAGATGTAGACAGCAGTGCGATATTGCAGTCAACAACAGTGAATGGTGTGAATGAAAGGGAATTGACAACCTCAGTCAATATGGATGTCAGCATCCCAGTGACATCTATATCAGAGGTGCTAACAACCACTGAAGAACCTGCTCCCCTGGTACCAACTTCTGTATATACAACTTCCAGTACACCACTGTCCAGTACAACAACATCTGGCACAGAGAAGACAAGCGGACGGCCAAATAAAGTGGAAGAAGTGAGTGAGAGCAACGCTATTGATATACCGTATCGAATAATCCCATTGGACAATGAGTTTCCTGTGAATAACATCATCCCCAGGAGAGGACGTGTGTTTCTGCGTGAGAAAACACGGAATAAGCGCATCCAGGAACTGCTTGAGGAGAAGCGAAACTTTTTGAGACGGATGAAAAGAGCACAGGGGATTTGAACCCTGTCCAGTTTCTCTTATAGAGATACAGCTGCCAAATGCAACTTCTGAATCTAGACTTTATTTTGGTGCTTGGGTCAAGAACTGGAAAATGGCCAAAATATTGCTGTGAACTGATGCTTTCCCCTCTTTTAATGACATGGGCAAACTGATCTTTGTGGAACAAAACCACTAGCAAGTGTTTGCATAGTTGCTTTGAACCTCAACAATGTCCCTTTAGGAGGTTTCACTGGAGGATCTTCTAATTCAAAGTGATTTATCATTTTAAAGGATTAGTTCAGCCAAAAATGGAAATTCTGTCATCATTTATTCAAGCTCATGTCTTTCCAAACCTGTACGAGTTTCTTCCTGCCATGGAACACAAAAACAGAGATTTAGCCATTTTTTTTTTTCATTTTCCGTATTACATAAGTGAATGGTAGTGAGGAGCAATGAAGCTCCAAAGATGACAATAAAGCATCATACAAATCATCTTCCAAAGTCTTCTGAAGCCATGTGGTATTGTGCCAAAAAACAAGTTGTTTTTCACAGACAGCATCATAAATAAATCATAAATCTTTAATATCATTCACATTCCAAGAAATTCAAACACGGTTCATTAAGATTTGTATGGTACTTTTATGGTTCTGTTTTATCTATTTGGGAAGCTTGACTGCTTCTTGTCCTCATCCCCTTTCATTGAATTGAAAAAAGCATCATGAAAAATAAAAGGAAGTCAACAAGAGGGTGAGTGAATGATGATAGAAATTTCATGTTTGGGTGATCTAAAAATCATAGAAAGAGAGTTAGGCAAATATGCTCAATGACAGATACAGATGATAGGCACATACTGTATTATGGGTAAATTAGCAAAAAATAAAATAAATCAGTTGGCACCAGTCTGAAATGTACGTTGGCTACAGTGTGTTTCAGCTGCATATTTTATCATAAAAATGTCTAATAATTTTACAGAGTTAAAAATGTGGAACCTGTGGTGGTGATGTGAATATAGTAAAAAATGAGCCCAGAGAAGTGAATCAGAGTTAAGTGTGAACATAGCCAGACATGACATGCAGAAGACATTGATATTCTTACATGTACCTATATCACAGTCTATATCACAGTCACACTAATGAATCATTTGATAAGAACAATTCAGGGATGCACCGTATTACATACATGCAGATGTTAATTTTGTGCTTGTGAATTATATTTCTTTTCACCAGTAAGCAAGCGTGTGCTGAAACTTTATCAGATCGGGTCAAGATGATATCTATTTTTATTTGTAAGATTTTGACTTCTTATAAGAATACTTTACACCCCTACCCAAAGATGTCAAAGACTCCATCATTATGTAAAAAGCAGAAGAAAATGTCAAAAACAGAAATAAATTGTATATGCCGCAAAAAAATGTTTCACAGTTTTACATTCCTCTTATACATTTTCTTGTGCTTTTACAGACCTTTTAATATTTAAATGCTAACGCTATATATACCAATTAATTGTTGTTCTTTGCATAGTTAATTTTTAAAAAGTTGAATATGGGACTGGCATGTTGAATAATTCTGCTCTTAGGACAAACTTTTACAACTGTTTAATTAAGTAAATTACCCATACAAATTCTTTAAAAAAAGACTTGGAAAAAATGCTCGTACTCTTCTCATTATTTTACATCTTGGCCTGAAGGTTTCTCAGAGAAAGAACTGGGTCAATTAGAACAGAAGGAATTAGAGCTGTACCTCTGCTGGAGCTCCTCACCTCACTTCATCCTCTTCATTAGCTTTCATCCTCACTGCAGGTGAAAGTGTGGATGGACCAGTCACCATAAGTCTCACATCCCTTCCTTACAGACTCAGGGGCTAATAACAGAGGAACAGAACCCATATTAAAGAAGAATCACAAATAAAATCTCACTTGTTTGCCCTTGGTAAGGACAAGAGATGAAGATCATCTGAAAATGTTTGCTTACTGAGAAAAATACACCATTAACATCACCAGTGTTTGTCAGAGAGTTACAGAAGAACTCAAAACTTTGCCAAGGTAGGTCTACCAACATCTACAACATTCATATATTTCAGGATGAATATTTCTCATTTAACTCTAAGCTATTCTAGCTATAGATATATTCTACGTACATGTCTTTGATTGTCTCATTTGTGTCTGTTTTATAAATTTTTAGGAATTATAGAAGAAATATTGATGAAACTCCTGACCTATGAAAAACAAAGTTGATGAAACTGAGCTATTTATTCACCCCCAGAGCCGTGTGAGGCACTTTTTATTATGGATGGATGCGCTTTATTGGATTTCTTTTGAACTGTTGAAAAATAACACCCATTTACTGCTATTATAAAGGTTGGAAGAGCCAGGACATGTTTTAATATAACTCCAATTGGATTCGTCTGAAAGAAGAAAGTCATACAGTATACACCTAGGATGCCTTGAGGGTGAGTAAATCATGAGGTAATTTTCATTTGTGGCCTTTTTAGCCGCCTGTGACATCATTGGTCCAGCAGATGGCGATATTTAACAATACAGCAAACATCAACAGCCTCTGTCTCTGTACAGGTGTTACACAAGCAGGTGTGATGGATAAGGAATATATTGCTCTCACAAGTGTCCTGTCACTATTTAAATCGTATTTTTAGAACTACACAAACTGCTGCTAATAAATGTCCTCTCAGTTTGTATTCAGTGTTGAATTCTTGACAGTGTTTTACTGCTAATATATTGACCCACATTCTGGTATAAGACTTTTGGGTAGGACTGGAAACAAGAGCGACATTTAGTGAGACTTATCGAATAAATTAATAGAATAGAATCACAATCTTGCATTGTATGGCAAGTAATTAAGTTTTGAAAGTTATGTAAGATTAATAAGGTGTACGTGAGGAACAGTTTTAAACACCACTGTATTCAAAATTTGATCTCAGGGAAAATGCAACTTTTTACCCTTGAAGTAAATGTCGTGTTTCTTTCAAAGACATTTTATACTGTAGCATTATGGAAGTGAGTTTAAAAGGAAATACTCTCTTAAAACACGAGGCAGGAAGGGGAAAGGAAATAAACTACACAAAGGGAAGGAATGGAAAACATTTTTAAAAATGGAACAAAAGAAACTAAATGAAAAGAAAGAAGAGTACAAATCATGACCTAGTTTGAACCTGAGAAACAAAATGTGCTTTTCTTGAACAAGTTTAGTAAAGACGAAGATGTCTGGGGCATTTTTATTATTAAAAAAGATGTTTTAGTTATTACAAGCTAAAATGAAAACAAGAGGATTAATTGGATCTCACACCCGGAAGCATAAATCCGTGGCTGTTTTCAGACACTGAATTTATAATTAACCAGATTAGACATTTTGGTTGATGAATATACTGTGGGATTACAGGCGCTCTCGCTGTCCAGAGGCCAAAAGAAGCGTAACTGTTTGTGACTAATTGTGTTTGTTCATAAATCAGGACAGCCGTCTATATAACAAACACCCCCTGCCATGAGTGTGTGTGTGGTGTACAAAGGTGGGCTGTTTCCGTGGCAGATTCTATTGCCTGCATGTCCTGTTTCTTTCAAAGACATTTTATACTGTAGCATTATGGAAGTGAGTTTAAAAGGAAATACTCTCTTAAAACACGAGGCAGGAAGGGGAAAGGAAATAAACTACACAAAGGGAAGGAATGGAAAACATTTTTAAAAATGGAACAAAAGAAACTAAATGAAAAGAAAGAAGAGTACAAATCATGACCTAGTTTGAACCTGAGAAACAAAATGTTCCTTTCCTGAACAAGTTTAGTAAAGATGAAGATGTTTTGGGCCTTATTATCATTAAAAATATGTTTTAGTAATGACACGCCATTATTTTACAAGCTAAAATGAAAACAAGAGGATTAATTGGATCTCACACCCGGAAGCATAAATCCGTGGCTGTTTTCAGACACTGAATTTATAATTAACCAGATTAGACATTTTGGCTGATGAATATACTGTGGGATTACAGGCGCTCTTGCTGTCCAGAGGCCAAAAGAAGCGTAACTGTTTGTGATTAATTGTGTTTGTTCATAAATCAGGACAGCCGTCTATATAACAAACACCCCCTGCCATGAGTGTGTGTGTGGTGTACAAAGGTGGGCTGTTTCTGTGGCAGATTCTATTGCCTGGATATGTGAGGAAAAGCTCCCCACAATCCACGGATATGTTTGTATCTTCATTCAGGCCTGATTTTCTGGTTCCTCCATGGGAGCATGGCAGGAAATTGGGAGCAGGATTCCATTAAAATCGCTGTGTTCAGTTCTCTTGCCCACAACATTCCCCTTTAAGGAGGCTTGCTCTGTCATTGCCTTCATATTCAATATGAAGGGGAAGTCGTGGCCCAATGGTTAGAGAGTCGGACTCGTAACCCAAAGGTTGCGGGTTCGAGTCTCGTACCGGCAGGGGTTGTAGGTGGGGGGAGGGAATGTACAGCGCTCTCTCCCACCTTTAATACCACGCATAATTTGGGGGAAGTCGTGGCCTAATGGTTAGAGAGTCGGACTCGTAACCCAAAGGTTGCGGGTTCGAGTCTCATACCGGCAGGGATTGTAGGTGGGGGGAGTGAATGTACAGCGCTCTCTCTCACCTTCAATACCACGACTGAGGTGTCCTTGAGCAAGGCACCGAACCCCCAACTGCTCCCCGGGCGCCGCAGCATAAATGGCTGCCCACTGCTCTGGGTGTGTGTTCACGGTGTGTGTGTGCTCACTGCTGTGTGTGTGCACTTTGGATGGGTTAAATGCAGAGCACTAATTCCAAGTATGGGTCACCATACTTGGCCACATGTCACGTCACTTCAAGCACATGAAAAAGATTGAAAAAGCATATTTTGCTGATTATTTGTAATACATCATAAGCTGACCTTTAGTCCAAGAGCCACGAAGGCACCGCAAGAGTCAGCAAAAGTACCTGTCACATGCTAAGATCTGTTCAATAAATCCCACTAAGAAATTTTGGCTGCAAATTAATTAATGTTTTTAGCACAAGGTCATAATGATAATTGCTGAAAGAACTTCAAACTTCTGGTCATAGTCTAAAAGTCTAAGAGTTTTCTTAAGGACAGTGTTTAGGAGGTCAAGAACAACTCATTCAGTTCCTGTTTATGTGAAACTCTGCGTTGAGAATGGCCAAGGGCATTCTGTCATCAGCTTTAATGGTCTCAGACTGAGAAAAGAAAAAGGGTTGAGTAAACTGGATCTCGCTGTTAGCAACAATGACCACAGTTCTGGCTTGATGCTGTAAATGAATAAAACATGTCTATATGCAACCATCTG